ATAACTCGATCCAACGAGCGATACGCCACGGCGATACAACCTCCAATTTTGTGTCAGCGACGATCCGCGCGCGGGTAGAAGACTGACAGAACGCGATTATTCACAAAATAACTCTCGACTTTATTTTCTTTTCTGATTCGTGCAGCCTTAAGCAATGGTTAAATAAATAATCAATTGCTGTCTTTGATGTTGCAGATTTTTAGAGATGCTTTCAGGGGGTGGTTTTAACGATTCTTTTGCATTTTACTTAAAATTCAAGGTTGATACTTAGTAAATCATCTTTGACAGCGATGAAACGTATACCGTGAATACACAAGAATTTCCTACAGGTATTTTTAGAATACAATAGCAGGAATACAATTAGCAATCAAGCTCATAGCAACCGTGCTGTTCGCGTTCGTGCACACCGATAACGAGTGTAGGTTGAACACGCGTAAACTTGTTTCCCGATGCGTTTCATTCGAAAATTAGTAATTATATATGGATAAATATCGTGGCCGGTTATCAAACGGCGTTAAAAACGTAGAACAACGTCGGGTAGTGGCTTATCAATACCGTAAAAATTATGACTTACAGCCATCATCGGTATTGGTTTCATATCGCGTTATTGCTCACGTAGCGGCCACCATTAGTGTAATTGCATTTAATTGTCCAGCCCCCGTTTCTATCAACGAATGATAAAGCTCAACCACTAATGGAATAGATAACCTTCGTGAAAAACACCTTTCTGTAATACGTTTGTTTAGCACATTTTTTAATTGCTTTGTTTTCTAAATTATTTTCAGGACACATGGAATATTTACAATTATAAAGAACCGTGAATTTATTTAGAAATCCGTCGGTTCAAAGCGAATCACTGAAATTCGTCAATTTCAAGTTTCGAGTACCACAACCTTCCTCAACCTTCCGAAACTTCCATCGCTCATGCTTTGCGCTATTGTATAACTGGGTTACAACTACATTTAGCAGAACTTCGTTAAAACGGTGTGTCGCTATCACCGGGTATTATCGAGTCAAGGACCTTTTCCCAAGTACCTACCAATTATGCTAACCATGGCAGATGTAAAACACTCAACGCAGAACAGTAAAAGTTATCTACATAGAGACATTGAAGAAATTGACAAACAAATATCAGTTAAAAAATGAAAGGCTCAAAGTTTCGTTCGAAACGGCTGAAGTGAAATAAGTAGTATAGTCTATGGTCAGACGCAAAGTCTGCTCAGGCACAGTAAAAAGAATTCTGTCTAATGCGACATATTTTTAACTTTTACCTGTGCTGAGTGGGTGTCTCAAATAATTTCTAATCATTCCAAATGAATGTTACATAACGTTGTTGTTACTTTGTTTCTTTATCGGGACGTGAAGGTCCTCTACAATTTTTTTAAATATATTGCTAATATTTCTTTCTGAATTTGCATGAAGCATAAAATGTTGCAATTTTGCTGTAAACCTTTGTACCACTAAACTGATACCTAGTCTCAAGTATGTTACTGTATCTAATATAGTAATCAGACAGATAATTTGCAACATGTTCAAGTCATCGTTCATTTTACTTTATAATATCGTTTCGTGAAACTATCAAGAGATACATTGAAACTATTCAAATGACTTGATAATATACTTTCGAGTATTAGCGGCGTTATCGGCGAACTTCTTCCACTATGTAAAACTGTATAGAAAAATTAGTTAATAGACTCTTTGAAATTCACCAAAATTCCATGATAGGAGGTTCTAACATACTCGCGCAAAATTCAGCGTACTTTTAAACATCTTGCGGTAACTCGTTCTTCAACGAAGAAACAGCTGGCCCACGAAGAGAGCCAAGGATCACGGCACGAATCGGTGGGAGCGTTTTCATTTAGACGTAGATTATTCCTAGATGCCTCTCATAAATATTAAACACCGTGCTCGCACTCTCGAATTCACGCAGGCGAAACGTTGCCGTACTTTTTTACTCCGATACCTTGTCCCGGCTGCTGCGGTACCCCTTTTCCTTCTTCCCTCCTTCACGTTCACCCTAAAGCGACGATCCGTCGCTCATCGAGTATGCATCGTCGATATCGACAGCAACGGGGGCTGTTACCAGCCTCATCGTTTAGCCGACGGCCACGTCGGAAGTCGTTTCTGGTCCCGGCAACGTCAATCACGTCGCACTATGGGGCAAGAATCCCAAGAAACGGAGAAAAAATTCTACCTTAGAAGAAAAAAAAAATGTGTTAAGTGATTAATTCAAGCGGCTGTTTCTTGGGATTCTATCCCACTGCCCGCCGGGAGGGTTCTTCTTTCGGCTTTGTTTTTCCTCGCAAGAGATTCTCCGCGACCACCGGCTGACAGGAGGGTGCGATTTTTGCGCTCGACCTGAACGCGTAAAACTACGTGTACACGCGTGCACCGGAGCGTTCTCCAGGGTTGCTGGAGGGAACGAGATAACAGCAGCTTGCCACCGTGGCGTTCCCAGTGGCCATCGGCGTTATGCCCGGTCCGCACACGCCGGTTCTTTTTCTTTTTCTTCCTCCTCCTCGTCGTCGTCCTCTCGTTCTTCCCTCGGCTCGCGTACTTACGTATTCCGTCGCGAGGCGGTGCCGACTCGTCACGCGCATTTGCATACATTTCGAACCGCGGACCGTGCGCGTTTTTTGCCCGGATTCCTGCTGCCGTCCGGCTGCGGATGTCCCTATGCGTTCGTGCGGCTAGACCGATCACGATAATCGATGCCGGGGCAGGAATCAAAGAGCACAATCTCCGTGGGGCATAGAAAGGTACGTGGAACTTCGCGGAAGGAAAAATCCAGCCGCGGAATTTCTTTGAAAATATACTTGTACCGTGGTCGCGTTTCGAGCGTCCAAAGGCAACATGTCCGAACGGTGTTTCCCAATTGCAAAAACGCCTCGGACGTTCCTCGAAGCCGAAGAATCTACACCTGCGTCGTTTCTATGACAGGGGAACGCCGACGCGAGCGGAGTAAATGAAATAAAAGAGGCGTAACTGGCGGACGAATCTCGTGGACAAAAGCGAACAACCCTTCTTTCTTCTCCGTGATCCGCGTGTCACGCGGGTAGTAAATATCAATAAACAAAGCGGTAGTGCTGGCGATCCGCTCGAAGACCGAGCGACCGGCGAAATAAACCATGGTCGAGACGCGGTTTTAGCGCTGGCCCTCTTTGTCGGGAGCCATCCCCTGCAACGTCGACTTTTTTCACCGAGCAATTAGAAAGAGATTTATTCCCGCCGGCACGCCGGGCGCACGCTCGCCGACCAACGGAGAAGGGAAGCAAGAGTTCCCGGTGTTGTGGCAGCAACATATTTTTCGGCCGATACCGTACGTACCTCTAACTCCGCGGCCATCTTACACGATCCACGCGTTCGTGTACGTGCCGTGTTCACTGACCGTTCGTCGTTGTGTGGGTACGCGAGTCGCGAGTTTCAGCGGACCGATCCGCCTGTACGAAACGTGAAACAATGCCGGGGCCGCGGGTGCTGCGTTTCTTTCGAGGTTAGACGAACCCGCACTGCGGTTTTAATGAACTCGTTTTGACGTGACGAGGCCATGCTTTCTTACCCTCTTTACCGTTTGCTGTTTTTTTTTCTGATATTAGCGATAAAGAAAAAGAGAAAGACCACGTTAACGTATGATTTTCAAGGGTTAATACAAATTCGGAAATAATAATTTTCTTTCTAAAGTTCTTTGTGATTCTAGCTTTAACCCTCTCTTCCCCTCGAACATCTTCACCTGCCTGCGGCTCGTCGCTCCGCGGAACCAACTTAGTTAATTAAAGTAACCGTACGGTTTTTGATTGACGCCCAAGGCGTAAAAAGTGGTGGACGCGCGAACGCACCGGCACCCAAGCGTCCTTTGCCGATTGCGCAACCGCCGGAACCGAGGGTTGACGAGGAGTAGAAACGTGGGCTCACGTTTTTAAAGCGTCTTCTCGTCGCCCGTCAAACGCGATTCTTATCGGTTTTCAGGGGAATTACGCTGTTTCGTAGCTTGAGAACGAGACGCCCGTGAATTTCCTTGCGGCGTATAAATTCGAGCTAATAGATTCCTTTCTGTCTAAAATGGAAACGGAAACGTCCGAGTTCCCGTAGAAATCTCTTCGTCGATAAAATCCAACGCCGCTATCGTGATAGAGATTTCAGATACATTTCTTTTTCCACCAGATTGTTCACGGAACTTTTTCACGAGAAAGGGTTGACCCGTTGCGGCGGCGGTTCATTCGGCACCGCGGAACCCAATGTAACTTCTCTCGCGTGTAGTCTAACCGAGCTTACGTAAGGTTGAGTAGCTCGTCACGTGCACGCAGCGCACGTATAGATCGCGCGAAGACACAAAAAAATACGCCGCATGTGCAATCCCAACGGTGCAGCACACGCGCATTAGTATCCGCTGCACAAACCGAACTCCGCGGCGTGTAGGTAGATAGGCAAAAGAAACGACGGTGTTACGAAACCAAGTAACTCCTTTTTTTCATTTTTCATTTGCTCAAACCCGGTAGCGACGATGCGACGTATTACGTAGATTCCGGTCAAACGATTGAACCGTGCGATGCACGTTTCCTCTTTCGTGTCTTCGTGTCTCCGAATGCAATAATTTCAATGAAAAACTGATGAAGATTATTTTTATATTTTAAGTTTCACGAAGGTGTTTCTCTATAGTCGTCCTTCTCCCGCGCAAAATACGTACACGCGAGGCGTATATCATTACACGCGCTTCGTACTCGCAGAAATTTATATCGGACTCTGTAATTATCGGATGTTTGACGGACAGAAGGACAGCGACAACAGAGACAGTGAAAATTGCCGGCCTCTCACGAGACCAACGTCTCAGGTCCACGTTAAATAGTACATCAACCTGAGCGACGACGAACTTCTTTTTCTTCTTCATCTTCTTCTTCTTCTCCGCCCTTTTTTCCTCTATAGCGGTCTCTCCCGCCAATAGCTACTGACAACCCGCGAAACGAGTTTCACCTGAACGGTCGTTCTTTGGATTTTTGTTGCAGGTGAAAATCTGGTTCCAGAATAGAAGAAGTAAATACAAGAAGATGATGAAAGCGGCACAGCAGGGTGGCGGAGGCGGTGGAGGGCAACACGGTAGTCTCCTAGCCGGTGGAACCGCTCTGCCTGGAGGACCATCCCCTCAACCGGGTCAACCCGGAAGTCTCATGCAAGGAGGTAAGTTTCCTCGTAATAATTTCAAAGAATAGTTTTGAAAAAGTTTCGTATCGCGAGGTTGCTCGACGAAAAACGTACACGTCAGTCGTGTCACGAGTTTGAATAATTATCGTCTTGATTTCAAGTTGGACACGATTTTAATTATCCTGAAAATGCGGCGTTAGATCAATCGGCTCGACGGTTGAACATAAGTCGTAACACGATACGTTTCAAGTGTACGAATGAATGTTAATTGGGATAAAGCTATGCTGAAAACGTAATATGAATTTTTGTCGTTCTTGTTTTTGAACGCGAACGCAACTAACGAATATCCAATCGGAAGATATAAATCAATTAGAGATCGTTACGCCACCGACAGAGAACCGTTCGACAACCTTGCCGATCCAGATCTTAACTTGACTTTCGAGATGCAACTGGTTCAACAGATGCACCTGCCGAGTATCCTACAGACTGGATCGCGCGAAATGAAATTGCACCATTATTGAAAAAATAAATCCTCTGGTGTCTCAAGCATCGATTCGGAATGTTTCAGGTGGCGGAAGTTCTGTGTCGGGTAGTCCGACGACAGGGTACCTCGGAGGGATGGGCGGTGGTGCAGGGGGTCACACCCCCGGCAGTTCGAGCCCCGGAAGCGAGATGTCGCCTCAGCACAACGAGAGTCCACCCGCACCCTCTTGGCCGGGCGAGATGAAGCACCATCCGCATCCGCACGCGCCACCGCATACCCACCACCACCCCCATACGCCTGGACACCATCCACCGCCTCCGCCGCCACCACCCCATCACGCGGGTTACATGCCACAGTACTCCTGGTATCAGGCAGATCCTAATCCCGGACTCCTCACGTAAGTACCATTTCCGGATACTATTCTGTATAAAGAAATTTTCGAAAATTTCAATTTTGTTTTTAATATTTTCCCAGTGCAGAGGAAAATTAAATTAAATATATTCGAGCTATTTTTCCCCCTATTTTCATGGAAAGTACGAGGGGTGAGTTTTAATAGCTCGTTCGTTTTTGGTATTTTTCAGGGTATGGCCAGCGGTTTAACGAAGATGTCGTTCGAACTGTGTTCAGGAGGAACCTCTTCTTCGTAGCACCGCGGACGTGCCAGCGCCCCTGCCTCAAAGTGTGAATACGTATAGCACCTGTCGCGATGGAATTCGTGTTCGATGTTAATATTGTTTCTATTCTATTACGGTCGATTTCCATATGAACCTGTCCAAGGTGACAGATTTCTCCGTCGTAGCAAACTTAGAGAATCTGGATCGTCCAAGACGAGACAACCTGCTAAATCAAACGCGAACAATCTTGACGAAAAATGTAAATCACGAACGATTATTTATCATAAACGATGATCGCGAATGATTGATCGTTAAAGATATGACGAAAACCGATCTCGTTTACTGACGCTGCCTAACGCGAAACCGGAAGCGCGGCTAATTGTCAGTCACAAGAATCGCGAAACGTGTAGAATCTCCTATTAAAGATCGTCATTGAATCCACGAAACCGGACGAACTAGGTTAACCGATCGTTGATCGATCTAACAGAGCATCATTATCCTCATCGAAGATTTCAACTGACCGGGATAAAGTTTCCTTAGCTTCGTTAAATGTCAAGTTGGCGAATCGCGGTATGGCGAATACGTCGGTGTACAATTATCCCGTTCGGCTCGGACCAAGGATCCGTTTTCGGACCACGATCTTTTCGCATCCATCCAAAGCGATCTCCGTTCGTCTGGTAAATGTCAATCCGTTCGATGACGTTAGTCGATCTATCCCCTTGTGACAGTTGGCCAATCGAAATGGCTGACCCACTTCGTGCTGGATGCTGTGATCCAACGTCGTGCGAGCGAGAAGAATGGATAAAGGGGGGCAGCAAAGGAACGGACGAAGGGAGAATGAGAGAAAGGGAGTGAGAAGCGTTGCAGAAACTCGTGGTCGTCGAGAGTGGTCGTTCCTCAAGGCGGTTGGAAGTAATGAAATCCTAATGACATTTTCGTGAGTCAAACGATCTCGGCAATCACGGTGGCGCGGTGTAATCACCGGTCCCTCCTTTCCGGATGAAGCAACGTACCTCCTCCGAAAAGGAGCGGAGAACGCGAGTTACGCGCGTGCGATTTTCGACGAATCTCCAAGAGGATGAGCGACGAGGATGGGGACTGGAGAAAAATCATTATCCCGAGCGACGACGCGACGGACAGCTGTGACGTGCGTGTTCATTAAATTCATGAAAGTCACTCAGTTTAGTGTTTCGTGCGTGTTGAATCAGAATCGGTGACACTTCTTTTCTTTTCTTTTTTTTACAGTGGTATCCCGGTGGTAACTCGAATTTCCGTCAAGATTCATCATCTCTCCCTTCGTTCGTGACCGTTCGTCGGCGTACGTCGAAACGTTCCAGGTTTTACGCTGTTTTTACCGTTTCCCGTCGGCCATGTTGGCTCACCCTTGCCATCTTGCGTCCGCCAACGATCTAGCTAGCTTTCAAAAGAGACACCACGAAACCGCAGAAAAAGACGGTTGCGGTTTACGACCAAGGGGAAACTGGGAGGGTCGGTGAAGCCCCACCGCTGACCCAAATCCTCTGGCGTGTCGGTGCAACAATGGTCGTCTCATGAGAACGCGGTCTCGCACGGTTCCTTTACTTCCTGATTCTGCCTTCTTTTTTCGCCTACAAAGATTGCCCGCCGTCTGGCCAACGACGCGACGGAATTCGTGAAATCCGCGCCGAGATAACCCTTTCATACTTTACCACCCTCTTTCGGTGAAATCCTTCAAACTTCTTTATATTCAAAATAAACAGAACCTCGATTAAAGGGCCTAATTAAAAATGTATTTTGTATACAAAAGAAGCTTTTTACAAAAATATGCTGTAATTAAGTTTGCGCTTAGAAATACTTCATCGTGTCTATCGAATTTTTCATCAACTTTTTAAATTCAAATTCAAATCGAGGTCCTGCCTGTAATATAATTCAAAAATCAACATCGCGATGTTGAAAAGTCAGTTTCACGTCGCTTTCGTGTTCCTCGAAAAATCCGCGCGAAGGAAAAACGGGGACGAGTTAGATCGACGGGCCTAGTTCACGCGACTTTCCATCAGAATTCCAGCGTCGCGATTCCAGGCGTCGGGCGACGACAATCGGGACGCGGTATCTCGAGTGTACGCGGAGAACGTTTCAACGCGACGATGACGACAATGATTCCCTCCGTGTATACTAATAAGTGCCGTTAGCTTCGACCGCAGAGAAGAAGCGGTTCTTGCGTTTTCGATTCGGTGCAATAAGGAGGCGTGCGCGTGTATAATTTAAGACGAAGTTCCCTCAGTTCCTAAATTGCGTGTAGATGCGAGTGTATTAGCGAGAAAACAGCGTAAAACGCGCGAGCGAGGATGAGCGTGTTACTCGACGGCGAAGCGGAAACGGGACGGTGAACGTTGTGCAAAGAACGGAGAAAAATAAAAAGAGAAAAAACGATGGAAAAGTCCGTAGAATTTACTAGCGTTACTAGTCTCGGTGCATGTCAACGAGGATCGATCGTGATTGGTGAAAATGATCGCGTATCGATCCTCGAACGCGTGTAAATATTGCACCGGGGCCCAAACACTCCCCCGCCCTTAGCACGTAAGCCGTAAAAATGAAAGAAATCTGTGTAAAATACGATATTGTGATAAGAGTGTAAAGAGATGAGAAAGGAAGCCAGAGAAAATCGTCTATATACATATAGGTTAACAACACACGGCAGATCCCCCCTCCCCAAGTTTATCAATTTTATCGAGTACCCTTGTACGAATATAGATATTACGAGGACTAAAAATACCTTAATTATGATTACTATTGTATAAAATATGAATAATAACTAATTAATTCAATTTAAAACGAACGATCTAGGGTTTATTCACCATCCCTTCTCGATTCCACGTGGAAACCAATTCAATTTCAATGTTATCGATCGATCAATTCGATCTTTCCAGAACTGCAACGTCGAACGGATATCTAATGTCCTGACGATAGGTTCCAGTTCCTTTTTTCTACTTTTTCTCTTTGTTCACCGGTAGCGGACACCACCTGCCGTTCTAGAGCCGGCGTACGCATGCTCTACTTTTATGGATAACTGTACTCCTATCTCGCTTAAAGCGAAGCCATCAACTATCGTCCGACGCGGGTCTACATGGTGTCTTGGAAAAGTCTTACAGAAAATAAAAATCCACGATCGAATTCTATGTCGTCGGAACGGTAAGTATTTCATTTTAATATTCAGACCCGGCATCATTGGATATCATTGCACCGCGCCCGTCTCATTAACGACGATAATGGTGACGGAGCTTAATAAGGCAATTACCCATCGAACGATTAAATCGTTCGTTTATCCGAATATTGATTTTCACGAGACAAAGGCCACTTCTGGCCGACAAAAGCGGCCATGTTTCAGGCACTCAGTCGTTCGCTACGCGCGACTACGCTTGCTCGTCCGTGCGGCACCACCGACAGAAAAAGGTGTACCGATGTGTTCCAATGAATGCAGTGTGCGCGCCTCGCCGCGGTTTTCAAACGTAAACTTATACTCGATGAAAAGGGAGAAAAAAGCTGGGAGGAGGCAGGAGGAGAGAGAAAGAGGGACGAGCGTGGCACGACAATGCAGCGGCATAAAGTCTCACAAGACGCACGGGAAACCTCCTTGCAACGGGGGACAAAAACCTATAATGGACACAATGGTCGATGGATCTCGGCTGTGAGCCTTCGACTGGAAGGCGCCGGTATTCATTGTGGTGTACCTTCGAAAAGATTATGTCGAGTGGATGTTTGCTTCTTCGTCCCGGTAGCGATTCAGCGCGCACTTGGAATTTGTGTGCCGTTTTTCTTTTTTTTTTCTCTTTTCTTCCCTTTTTGCCGGTGTATACATTCGACGCGGCGAGGAAGCGTTCGATCTCGCAAAGAATCTTTAATAAAATATCCTACAGTTCGATGCTTTCGATTTGGAAAAGGGTTAAGAAAGTTGAATTTTAAATGGTACCGTGTGTACACGTGTCAATGGCAAACGACCGCTTCCGTCTAATCAAATCCGTGTCGGAGATCGTGTTCCAGACAAATGCTCGGGACCGTGTATAAAGGCTCGTTTAATTCAACTTCCCTCAACATCCCCTTATTCTATTATCCAGGCCACCATTCCACCTTCTCTCGTTTAATTGCATTCCCGAAGATGAGATGCGAATCTACGGGGCGAACAAACATGAGGCGAGTAGAAAATTAAACTATTAAACCGCTCGTGAACTCGAGTATCGCGCGTCGCGATCATCTTGGCCCTCCCTGAACGTAGGTGAGGAGAGGAACGCGCGGACTTCGTGTAGTTTCCTCGTTTATCGTTGCCAGAGATCGTGCCACCGGGTTGCCCCGACTTTAAGCAATTAGCATTTAACCCACATATCGGCCTCCTCGCCACGGAACTACGCCGACCGAAATTCATCCGTGGAAAAACCGTACAGTAGCTGGCTGGATATTAATATCTCGAAATATCTCTTAATATTAACGCGAATCGTTGTAGCTTTGAACGTTTCGAGCCTAGAGGGAATTAGAAGCAAGTCGATCGTTCGGTTGATACGCGGACGTACACGCGTTCGTTAACGCGCGGTCGAGTAGGAAAGGGAATTAGTATCGTGGGGTCAGGAAGAACGAGCCACGACCTGCTAAGACGGTGAACGATATCGAATAAACAAACGAAACGAGTGGGAGGCGGAGGAAGTGGCGGATATTAAGGTCTTCGTGACGGAACTTGACTCGTATTATAGCGAGCTAAGTGAGGAGGTCTCCTCGTCTGGTCGAACTAATTCTATTACTTCGTCCCTTCCTTCCACCACCATACTTCTATCTGTCGGGGATCATCGTTGAATTGTCTTTCATACTATCATCCGCGTCTTTTGCATCGATCTCTGTCGAAAAATATTAGCTTTCTAAAATAAAAGAGTATTCAATGTCTCTTTTACAAGGTTCTAATGGACAGTTAAATTTGTCCCTATAATTTCTGGCACGAGAGCTGCATACCAATAACTGTCTTTCAATCGGGTTCATAAACGTCGTTTTCTCGAGCCGTGGTCTTCAAGGATGAACCCGTTGGTTTTCATTCACATAAGAGAATTATGGGATTAGAACGCGCGAGGGTCGTTGAGAGAAAGATGGCAGGGGCAGCCAGAAGGTTAGGGGTTGCCCGACAATGTCGCGCAAACGAGCGAGCCACCCCATGCGCGAGACCGCCACGCCCTTCTTGCTGCGTGGAATCGCAAATTGGCACCCCAACCTGACCACCTCTTGCTTCTTCCATCTAACTTTTCCTCCTTTTCCGACGCCGACCCTGTCCTCTCTGCTGAGAGCCGGGATTTTCGAGCTTGGAAATTGAACACAATCTCGTTTCATTTAATAACTAATGATTTTTTAAAAGAAATTTTAGCAACTACATAAAGAGATTACGTAAAATTTTATTAAATCTAAGGGTAATTTTCCACACCGTTGATTTCTCAAATTCTTTGCCGTTCAAATTCGACACGCTTGCAGTGACTGAAATACCGTTGGCATAACACATAATGGTTTTTTAACGTCGAATTGTCGCGACGCCTTCTGGACACATCCAGCTGGCGAAGTTGCACCGCACAGAGGCACAAAGGTCGAAAGGAAACGTACGCAGAACTCCGCCCAGCGTATCGTTTGTCTCATAAGGGTTGAAGCCACGTGGCAGAAAGACGCACGCGTATTCGTGAATTAAGCAAGCAACTTGCTTTATAATTCAACAACCGTCCGCGACGTTTCTTGAATCTTGTTTTCGTAATCTACTTCACGTTACGAGTAGAATTTATGTAGAAATCGTCGAACTTATCCCATTATAAGCATAAACGCTTATATGAATATTTCAGATCGAAAGAAACGTCTAGGTAACGATATGCACAAATTAGATGAGGCAAAGCTGCACAGAAGCGAGTAAAAAATAATCAAGCCACTAATTGCTGTTACAATTTATGCCGACAGTTTCTCAGGAATTGGAAGAAAAACGAAATTAAAGTCCCGAGTTATTTTACTTTCAAATCATATCATATCTTACATTGACTCATATCCCTGCTATCGTTAATAGAAATGTGCTGAAGAATCTCAAAGGTCGTGCGCGAGTTTCTTTAAATATTAAACACCTTTCTCGGTAATAGACGCAACATGAATATTGAAAACGACTGAGAAAAACAAGAACGAAGAGGATAAACAGTTGCACGATGATTATTCCCCCCGAAAATCAATTGCGCGTTGCAAAAGACGAAGAGAAAAAAAAAGAGAATGTCGGATGAATCGGCATAACACGGCGAACATATCGGATAAATTGGCTTTTATTGGTCCCCACTGTCCACAGCGACGAGTTATGAGCATGGTGATCGTTAAGGTGATTAAGAAATCACTTGCCATTAACGCTCATTTAGGAGCCAGGGCTAATCCCGTCGTATCAAGTCTCGGTCTCCTCCTTATTTTCTATATTATATCCTCACTCGTGTTTTCGCCTTTCCAAACAATTCTTCTCGTTTGCCATTCTGTGTTTTTATACAAACTTGCGCCATTGAAAAATCCAAGAGAACGTAAAAAAGAAAATGGGAAGAAAAGTCAAGTGTGTCGAAGCGATCTGTCGACATCTTCCTTTATTTCTGACGTTAAGAAGGGTTAAGGGGATTAGGATGAGGGCCCGGGGGAACGGCTTCCAGAGGACACGAGTCCTCTTTCAGTGGCCCGTACCTTCGAGGGACTACCTGTCGGCTAAAGCCGCGCAAAAATAAACAGATTTAAAGGAACTTCGGAACGGTAGTCGGAAAGAACCGAGAACCATTGGACAGCGGGCGTGTGTCCGACCCCCTGACCCACTCTCTCGAGTGGGGTCACTTTAGAAAAGTGCTGGTGACACTAATCTGACGTTAACGGGGCCCACGGTAATCCTAGATCTTATCTGTTGACGGTAGCCAAATCGTTGGCGAAATTATAGCTCCGATAACGTCTAACTAAGCGAAGATATTTTGCTCGTTTCTCAATCGACGGCAGGTTAAAGAGTTGAATGGGAATGGAATCGTTTGCAAGAATTAGTCGTGTCAAGTTAGAGGGATGCATCTGTTTGTTCTACGTGCATTTTTCAACAGGTCTGAACGTTCTGGTCTATAAATCGTGCAGTCTTCTTGCATCGATACTTCTTTTGTCGCACAACCACGAGCACCGCGAAGAAAGGCAACATTTCATGTATTATTCATGGGGGTGGAGAACGTACGCGATCATTTATAGAACGTTCCCTTGGAATATCTTTCTTTCCACTGTTATTTCTATTTTTGATTGCCTTTTTTATTGCTTCATTATTAGTTCCAAACATGTGTACAATTATGAAGGATCACACATGAGGAACATTATAAATTTAATATAATTAAATGATTTTAAATATTTGAAGTCATATTATTAAA